GGGACCCTCTTCGGGTGGGCAGGCGTCCGGCCCGCGAGCTGCTCCGCGTCCCCAGCGCGCGCTGCGGCTCTCCTGACCTCGGAGCGTGTCACCCCTTCGCATCTGATAGCATGCCGAGAAATGGCATTGCTTCGCTGAGGCTTTGCTCTTGGTGAGCATTTAGGGTATTCATCAACCCCGAATTCAGTACGTGGCTCTTATTAAAACGTTCCTGGCACAGTATTAATAAGCGTTGGCTGATATTCGTTCCTGTCTTGGTGTGGATCAGTGTAATCCCAGAGACGGTGTCGCCATCCATTATTGAGAGCTCGCTGCTTTACCTGGCCTACACGGTTTTAAAGTACATGGGGGAGAAGGGCAAATTGCTGTTACACCTGAATTGCAAATAAATATTTTATGTGCAATTTTACTTGCTATTTCAGAGGGCATCTTTAATGAGTAAAAGTTATTAATACAGCTGTCTGCACACTACATAAATCAGCCGAATAGAGTGGAGCATATCGAAAAGAGCAGTCCAGTTATTACTGCTTAAGTGACATAAGTGATACAGTATGGACTTTATTCAGCTTCTCAGAAATCAGCAGAAATCTGATGCATCTACACCCCTAGTCCGACCACCACGGCCTGTGTTTTGAGCCTTGAAGCGGGTCAGCAGGGGAGAGGCTGAAGCATTAGTCCCCACGTCAGCAGTATCTTCAAATGCCCCACGGGAGAGGTTTCGTGCCGGAGGAAGGCCCACGTTCTCATGCTCTCGACCAAAGATTTTTTATATCTCCAAATTTAAATCAGCAGTACCACACATATAGGTAGATAGATGGTATGTGCAGACTTTTATATCTGAGTGTTGAAAAATTCCATAGTCACTTGTTGTTTTCTATATGCAGAAGAAAACATATATAGAAATGGGTCAGTAAGAGAGGAAATGGGTCAGGAAGAGCTAATGGTCTAACGCATTGCCGCTGATGGATGAGCAATCAGCTGACGATCCAAGCAGCCCTGATGGCTCTCAGACCCTCCTGAACGCACTGGACAAGTTGTGGAAGAAGCCAGGGCTGTTCTGGAAACGGCACAGAGGGGAAACGCTGAAACTGGGCAGCCGGGGGAAGTGACCCTGGCCAAGGCGCCCGCAAAGTGCTGGGCGACCGAATGCTCTTACGGGATAAAACAGCCAACCTTGGAAATTCCTCTTACTGCTGAAGATCCCTTTCGCTAAGCCACAGCCAACTTGACATAAAGTGACTTTCTTGACAGCCAAAACTGCGTCGCCCTGGCCCAGGCAGCTGCTAGAAACGGCCCATGGAGCCGAGCCGGTGCAGACGTCGAGGCAGGCAGCAGTTACGACAGCAGTTAGGTTTGCCGTGGTCGGTCGGTGACCCACGTCACCAGGTTTGTGTGGAGACACGAGGAGTATTTTGGACGGCAGCACCGCCAAGTTACTGAGGAGAGCGGGTCCTCGAAGGGGCCGAGGGCCGTCCGTAGCTGCTGCACGGGCGG